GTCCATTAAGAATGGCATCTTTGATAACCTTTTCTAAAACCTTCCCTGGCATAGAGGTCAGGCTGACGGGCCTGTAGTTTGCCGGATCCACTTTCCTCCCTTTCTTGAAGATAGGCACCACATTGGCCTTCTTCCAATCTTCAGGCACTTCACCAGAGCACCAGGAGTTCTCGAAGATGTGTGCCAGGGGCTAAGCTAACCAGGTCCATGCTAGCCAGCTCTGAGTACCCTGGGGTATAGATTGTCAGGGCCAGCTGACTTGAAGGTATCCAGCCTCTCAAGGTGTGCCTTCATGAGGTCAGCATTGATGGAGGGCAAGGAATCTCCCTCACTCGGGCCTCCCTGTCCCATGATTCCTTATTAATTACACTAGCAAATAATACCCATGAACATCTAGCCAATATATTCTGTAATGTGTCCGGGGCTGTCAGGGTGGAGTTGATAAAGCTAGTGAAGTCTCTGACATGGTTCCCACCAGGCCAAATATAAGCTTGTAGCTCCCTCAAGAAGCACATCTAAGTTTCCTTGCTAATTATAAGGTCCATCTGTTACCACTTGCAAGTAAAAACTGTTCAGCCATTTTGGGTTCGTATGACTGTGAATTCCTTTTTCTACTTCAGTAAAAAAAGGAGTTGTATTAGGGGCATTAGGGCTGTTGGTCCTTGAGGTAATAACAATCTAATAATAACAAAAATAGTTGCTCATAATTTGTGTTGTGACAGCACCTGGGACCCCTAGACATGGGTCAGTACCCATGGCACTAGACTTTGTACAAACAAAACAAAAAAGATAGTCCCTGCTCCAAAGGGCTTCTGCAACAGTTGAGTTCAGTGGGTTCACGATTTGGCCCCCCACATGGACCATACCTAAAGGAGAGTGAGCAAGCCTCAGTACATGTCTTTTTCCACTAGTCATTCAATCTGAGTCCTTTACTGTAAGCAGTGAGAGGTAGTTAGCCATGTTAGTCTGAAATCAGGCAGAAAGCACCTTATAGACTGACTAAATCAGAGATGCATAAGCTTTTGTAAGCAGTAGTTTATGGTGATCCTAGGAGTATCATCCTAGGAAAAAGACCATACCCCACACTATAGCAGAAGGCAAACCCTGCCAAAGTTTGTGCTGGTCTGATCTGTGGGAACATTTCCTTCCTGAACCCAGTTTGGTGATCAGTGGCCACGTCTACACAAGATGCTGTAGTGACAAGCTACAGTGATGTAGCTCATTGCTATGGTAACATAGAGTCAGCAGGCACAGACTGAGATGTTGATTCTACTGTGCAGTAGCTCATTGCTACTGCGCAGTAGGGTCAGAAACGACCTGTGTGCCTCTGGGACTGAGCAGTAATGGTGGTTACTGCACATTCAGTTAGTACTAAATAACGGCGCAGTAATAACTGTGCGGTCAGGTGCACATGTAGATGCTCTCAGTATGATTTTGAACAGAAGAGCAGGAACTATATGGTGTACGTCTCAGTGGGATGACTACTTTTGAGACTGTAATCACTGTGTTAGTAGCTGTATGAGGAAATTCTGAGAACAGTTTTGATTCTACAATAAGGAACTTGAATCAGAGACCCAACTGAGATCTATTTTGAAATCCTGTAGCTTCATTGTAAGGAGAGGCATTTTCTGGATGGCAATATCTGAAGTTGCAGCTTTCCCAGAGGCCCATGAAAGTCATCTGTATGGTTCATACAGTTAAAGTTTTCAAGGGCCAAGCAGAGTGGAGGGAGAAGCTGGCCAAATAGAGACCATTTCTCTTACAGCAACTAGTTCACGGGCCTGTGGGACCTGGGGAGTTGAGCAGGGATGGTCTCTCTCTTACAGGGTGGTTTGGAGGGTCTGACTTCTCTAGGTCTAATGCAAAACTAACTGTTCAGGCCACTACTTTTGAAGGGAGTGAGGATGTGGAACCCTGCCCCAGTATTGCTGTCAGAGGAGAAGCCCAATCAGCTGACAGGTTATCTCACCCTTTTCTCTATCAATTCTCCTCAGGGAATTTCCATCGTAAAGCCTCAGTGATTATGGTGGATGAGCTGCTCTCAGCCTATCCACACCAGCTCTCCTTCTCTGAGGCTGGACTCCGGATAATGATAACCAGCCACTTTCCTCCCAAAACCCGCCTCTCCATGGCCAGCCGCATGTTGATCAATGAGGTAGGTGTTACATCTTGCTATTCATACAGGGTCTGCCTCTATCCTGAGGTCATCTGCTCCCTCAGCTATGTTCAGACTGAGGAGGAACCAAAGGGCTTCTCTCTGCCTCTGGTAGAGTTTTTCCACCTTCCTCCCCACTGTCCAAGGGTACTCTTAAGCCATCCCTTGATATTTATCCCTGGAGGGGGGATAAATAGCCATGGGCGGGAGGTGGGGAGGTGTTCATTATTCCCCTTAGAGACACTATTCCTAGATGCTGATCTGACTGATTTCACATGGGTTTCACAATACTGTGAATCTACTGACTACCCAGAGAGTTAATCCGAATTTATGCCAGTGTAACTCAGATCATAATCTGACTCATGGTCTCTATGTAAATACATCATACTCAGGCTTTCATTTCCCAGACTGACACTACCTTGCCACCCCTGCCAATTTACATTGACTCAGGATTTGAATCTTTCTTTTTTAAAACTTGTTTTTACAAAGTTTTGCAGAGCTTCAGAAATCTTTTCACTGAGAATCTGTAACTCTTCTTGCAGAGGCAAAGGCTGATAAACAGCAGAGCCTACACCAATGGGGAATCAGAAGTGGCTATCAAAATTCCTATCAAGCACGTCATTGAGAATGGCACAGGCCCCAGCAACTCTGCTGAGCGGGGAGTGAATGGGACCCGGAGAGATGAGGATGTAGCTGAGGCTGGGAACGAGACAGAGAATGAGAATGAGGACAATGAGAACAATGAGAACGATGAGGAGGAAGAGGAAGAGGATGATGATGATGATGACAATGATGGACCTTACACTCCTTTTGACCCACCATGTAAGAAGCTCCCTGAACTTTCTGTGTTCTGAATAACACAAGCTTTTCCTGAAATGCCAAATAGCACCACAGCTGCATGTAAACTAGAGCTGCTGCTCTAAAAACCACATCATTCTGAACATACTACTTTATGACCCTATGACCCCTGCTGACTTCCTGCCCTTCGGGTGGGGGGCTGGACTTGATGATCTTCCAAGGTCCGTTCCAGCCCTAATGTCTATGAAATCTATGAAATTCATAGTCATAGATATGTCAAGCTGGTTAAATAAATAGTGCCCCTTTTGTCAGATGGATATAAAGAGAGAATCACAGAATCATAGAAAATTAGGGTTGGAAGGGACCTCAGGGAGGTCATTTAGTTTAACCCTCTGCTCAAAGCAGGACCATCCCCAAGTAAATCATCCCAGCCAAAGGTTTGTCCAGACAGGTCTTAAAAACCTCCAAGGATAGAGATTCCACCACTTCTCTGGGTGACCTGTTCCCGTATCGTGAGACAGTACCCCATTAGGCTTCTTAACTGCTGCCTGCACCCAGACCTGAACTTGGTTAGGAAAACAAGGTGTGTTCTTACTTCAGGTTACCTAATGCATAGTAAAATCCTAGGAAAGACAAGACAGTGATAGTGCAAACATGAATCATCAGATTGAGCTAAAACCTACATTCATCCATAGCCTTTACCTCAGTTGCTAATTTTTATGAAAATCATAGAAAAAATATATTTTTTGCTTCCTGCTAATTTTCACAGGTAAGCTGACCTGAGAAAGGAACACATCTTTTATTCCTAGTGTGGATGCAGCCACCTGTTCCACTGGGAACCCTTAGAAACAATCCAACTGCTGGCATTTTACAGTTACTTTACAGCAGAGTAAGCAAGTACACATTGGGCCCATGGTGGACCCTCCCCCTATCCTCTTTATGCACTCTGGCAGCCGTAAAGTTGGTGTGAATATGATTCACTTGCGTGTTAAGTCCCCTTCATGCTATTGAAGATGTGTAAAGGGAACACGGCATACATGAGACTTTGGCCCGTTTTTTGTTGTGTTAGGACCTGATTCCCTTTTATGTGATAGCACCTTACCTGCTTCTAGCTGTGTAAAGGGATCTTACAGGAAATGCAAGTCCTATTTATTTTTGGGCAGTCTCTCAGTCCCTTTTTCCCTGTCTCTTTAAAATCTCTGTCCTGAAAAACAAATCACACAGTTTGTGAGGCATATTGCTTCACAGGACTGGGCACAACAGACTGTTACAACAAATGGGACAGTGCATATGCAAAAAAGTTACCTCCTTTACCCCCTTCATTCACCACATGCTAGGCCTGCTGCTTCAGGGAATCCAGGCAAACTGTGGTGGGTGGCAACCCTCTCGTGGGAGAAACTTGGAGTGTTATGGATTAACTGGAATAGACAGCCCCTTAAAGGACCTGCTTTTGCCACTTACCCAGCACTTTCCCAGGAAAGACCGTCAAGGCCTGGTTGCTGCTGTTACAGGTGGTGCTTAGGAAGAGAAGTGATGTTCTCAGGATACCATCAAGAGGCCCTGTGAACCATGTCACCACCTCAGACTCCTCCCTAAGCATCTTCTCTGCTGTGAAACTTAATAGCAGCTAGGTACCTGGTGTGCTGTGACCATTACTTATCACCTTTGCCTTGGGCTCTTGCTGTCTGCTTCAGCATACATTTCCCCTTTGCTTATTGCCCAGCTCAGTGGGACACCAGCTCAGGTGGGAAGTTACCATTTTCCCTTTTCTTTTCTTTTTCCAGCTGGCAAAGTTGAAATCCTGAAGTGGCTGTTCACCTGGCCACTGTGTTTTCTGCTGTATTTCACCGTGCCCAACTGCAACAAGCCCCACCTGGAGAAATGGTTCATGATTACCTTTGCTTCCTCCACCCTCTGGATCGCAGCCTTTTCCTATGTGATGGTGTGGATGGTATGTATCAAGCAAGATGGGTCTTGCTTGAGCAGAAGTCTGTTGGCTTCAAACGCCACTTCCCATTGGTGTCAGGGAGCTTGGGATCAAGTCTTGCTTCCCTAAGTTTCCTAATAGAATCTTTACATTTACATTGAAGGTAAACCTTTATATTTTATTTGCATTAAAACTTCTTTACACTGACAGGCTGGGAGTGCAGTGATAGAGCAGTAAAGTGTCTTCCTTTGGCTCCAGAGGCATGAGCTCAAGGCCTGTGTTAGACTCATGCCAGGGACCATCTCCAGTTGACACCCAGGTGTAAAATGGTACATGGTTATTCAAGCAGCTGGATGTGATGCTTCCACATCACTCCCTTGTGCTGTTGTCTATAAAAACTTGTGAGCTTTAACCATACTGGTCCAATGGGTTTGGCCCTGACAGTGACAGGATGAAAACTTAACACTACTGAAGCCAAATTCCACTGACTTCATTGGAGCCAGTAAGAACTGGACCTTTATCTGCTTTCTCTCTTTTTCCCTTCATGTCCTTATGGCAAGGAATTTAGCAAAATTCACGGATTCATTAGAATCTGTCAGGGCCATACCATAAGTGCTTCTGCTATGGCCTCAAACTTACAGATTTTGGGCTATCAACCATGTTCCTTAGTGTCCTCACCACCCCAGCTTGTGTCTTTTCCCTCTGTAGGGGAAACAACTTTAAGAGGCAGGGCTCTTCAGTGCTATCACTCAGATACTGCACAAGCCAAGCCATGAACCTTAGCCTTCTGGCTGGCTGGGTTTGCTATGCTCCTGCTTTTCTCAGCAGGAATTTAATCTATCTCTAGCTTGTTATCCAAGTGGTTGAAGATAAAAATGAACTAGAACAAATCCAAATATAATTGGCCTATTTATTGGCAAGAAGAGTCTGTGTGCTTGTTGGTTCATTAAACAGCTAAGCTTGCTGCAGACCTCATCAGATGGCTGGATAGGTGATAATATCCCTGCAGTCCCACTTAAGATAATACTAATAATACAGCATAGATCATGTTTCCTTCTGTTGAGTGAAGTTAGGCCATCATGTAGTATTGGGTACAGAAAAGCGTCTTGAGGGGAAACTTGGCCTTGAGCCTGTGCATTTATTAGCTAGCCTATGACCTCTTACTCTATTTCACCTTAGGATTTTAGAATCACAAACATACATCTAACCTAGACCTAAAGAATCTGGATATTGGAAGGGAAAAAATATCTTCAGTTCCACGCGCAGTTAATTTCATGTGGAATGAGTGACTGATGTCGGGGTTTTGTTTTGTTTTGTTTTGTTTTTCTCCCTTCAAAACAAACACAAATCTGGCTAAAGCCCTAATTTTCTAAACAGGTGAGGGAAAGTGACTATTCCCTTTGGTTTTCATTTGCAAAGATGAGGTGTTTTTAAGAAGCATCTATCCAAACTTTTTATAGCTGGGATACCATAAACCAGAGGCTCACTGTATTGCTTTTAACACATGGCTCAGATTTCCAAGGGAATATGGAGTGTGTGGAAAATAAGACATAATCCAGAACCAAACTTTTCACTTCACTCCTTGCAATTAAGTATAGCTTGTAGCTTAATTTCATTGCCATACATTTAAGCAAGGTCATCTTCTATTCCATAAAGCATAGCAATTCACAAAATTCTAATAATTTATGACATGCATACCAAAGGCTGAAGTTGCACAGTTGCATGCAGTGATTTGATGATAACCCCAGGAATGCAGTGAGCTTATATTTATCTTTTGCTTAGTTATTTAGCTATGTTTTATACTGTAATAATTCCTGGGGCCCTCAGCCAAGATCAAGGCCTGATTGTTCTGGGTGCTGTACCAACATATAGATGGGGAGAGTTCCTTTCCTAGCTTGCAAGACAAGACCAAGAAAAGGTGGCTGGAAAGAGAGAGGAACAAAGAAATTAAGGGTGCCTTTAACCGTGCGGGAACACTGTTCTGACGTTCTGAAATTCCAGCAAGTTGGAGTAGACTCGATTAATCATGCCTGCTGGAGCGTGCTAATTAGTGTACTCCAGCAGCCTCCGTGTTTCATGCATCAGTGCCCCCATGCTTCAAAATGGTGGTGAGGGTGCTTTAACTAAAGCTCGCCAAACAACCTTTAGTTAAAGCGCACCCACCACCATTTTGAAATGTGGGATGTTGAATACATGAATGTTGCGGGCACCATTTTAATTAGAGCACCAAACCTGATTATAGACAATGCCCTAAGGCAATATAGGGGCAATTTTTTTTTTAGTGAATATAAGTACTTTGACAGTTCTGTTTATTTCCCTAGGTGACAATAATTGGCTACACACTGGGTATTCCAGATGTGATCATGGGGATCACGTTCCTGGCAGCTGGAACCAGCGTGCCAGACTGTATGGCAAGCCTTATAGTAGCCAGACAAGGTAAGTTCACCTTGTATGTTAGCGAACATGGGTGTCAACGCATTGCAAAGTCATCTTTTATGTATTCAGTGTCTTTTAAGGAGGTACAAAGGATACATGGAGATACCATAAGAAGTGCCATACTGGGTCAGACCAGTGGTCTATCTAACCCAGTAAGTTGAGTGCAATAGTGGGCAAGTGGTAGGTGCTTTAGAGAAAGAGTACATGAACAGGGTATGTCTAGAGTGATCTATCCACTGTCATACCCTCCCTGGCATTAATCATCCTTGATTTAGGGATTTCTGAGGAGACATGTCTGACGGTTTTATTTAATAGCTCCTAATGGACCTTCAGAAAAGCTTTTCTAATAAAAAGGGTGATGTGAAAGAGCATCAGAAATCCTCCTGCTGCTTACGTTTCCCAGAAGTGCCCATATGATGCTATCTCTAGAGAGCCAAAATTGGGAAAGTGGGATAGGATTGAAGGAGAAGATACCAGGACTTCCTACCTCCCCTTTAGTTGTCCACCTGGAAACGGGGGTGTTTGTAGCGTGCCACTCAGGTTCTGCAGTGGCACTCATATTTGTAAGAATTTGAAATGAGAATCCAGAAGGTCTGTAATGAGGTCTTTTCTTCGAAAGCATTGCCATCTTTGAATGCCTACGATGCACTGGGCAGTGTAGTTGGTTTGCATAACCATGCTTTAAGAATGGCAGGGAATAGATGGAGAAATATGGCACAAAAGGTAGAAAAGCCTCTATTCTGCTATTCTAGTCAGGTTCTTATATCTCTAGGGGCAGATCCTCAGCTGGTGTAAATACTGCTATGGGCATTTACACCCACTGAGGACCTGGCCCCTGAAGTCTTGTGGTAGTTCCTGCTAATATGGGAGGAGGAGGCTGATGTCAAGTAAGCAAGTTTAAGTATGGATGCTGAACCACATCCCCAGGTCCAAAGGAGCAGCAGAGTCAATTCTGAGTTGGCATACAGTCTTCACAGAGGGATTAAAAGATTGCACAAGCTAACTTGCTGTCACATGAGACTTCAGAGATCATTGCTGAAAACCTGGAGAATGTTCCAACAGCATTGTCAGAACTGAGCATTCAAAAACTTTATGAGATTGGCTTGAAAACCATGAGGTATTTTTAAACAGTAAAAAATGGGGGCATCTGCCTATTTGTTCTCAGGCTTCTGAACCCCTTCAGCATACTCACATCCTTGTCCAGATTTTCTAGGCAACCAGGAGGGCTGGGTTTTGTTTTATTTAATTAAAACTGAGGTTCTCATGACTCCAGGAGCTGGAGATTTAAGAAAAACAGGGCACAGGCAACACTTCTTAAGAAAAGACAAAGAAACATTTTCTATAGAAAACATATGTTACTCCTATAGGCCAGTTTATTGGAATAAGGAAGCATTCTTTACTAAAGAAAGGCTAGATGTAATCAAACTTAAATATGTGCAGTCTGAGATAGTTAACATGTGAATATTCTTTAATGAAATGGCTCTGATTGCATTCTGTTTGTGCAGGGATGGGTGATATGGCAGTGTCGAACTCCATTGGAAGCAATGTTTTTGACATTTTAATTGGCCTGGGCCTCCCCTGGGCTCTGCAAACCCTGGCGCTGAATTATGGTTCATATGTAAGTCCTAAGTTTGATTCCTTTTTTTTCTTTTTGGTTACACACACTATTCTTTTTGGCTTCTTTCATGTTCCGTGCCAAATAGAAGTTATTTCAGTTGAATATGAGTGAACAAATAGTATTATCTGGTTATGACCAAGAGAAATTGTGGGTAATCCGCTGTATATAGTGCAACAACCTTTATTTTGTGTTGAAAGGTCCAAATGAAATAAGATATCAGATCATTTTATACTGTATTTTGTTGTGCCTGCATATATACATGATAAACAAAAAGCTAAGTTATTTAGTAATGCACCCAATTATTTAGTAATACACTACAGAGATAAAAATAGAATTTCAGAACATACCAATGAAGATGATAGGATAGGGACTAATCAGCTTCACTTCTGGAAAAGAAAATCGTGCCCCACAAAACTATTAGAATATTTAGTCACGTCAACAAAATAGCAAATGAAAGAGGCTATTAAATTAGTCCATCCGGAAAGAGCTAAATTTGTATTGTGGATCAGAATATAGCTAAAAGCTCAACCTTTTGGCCCTGTGGGCAAGAGGGGGTGCCTATTCCATCTGTGGGCCCAATCTGGTGCATGAGGCAGACACAGCAGAGTCCAATCCAGCTGTGCAAAGAGGGGCAGAGGCACAGGCGGCTGGTAGGGGGGAAATGGGGGGGACATGTGCCCTCCCTGAAATTGGCCCCCAACTCGGCACCACTCAGGACAGCAAACTGCAGCCCCACGGAGCTGGGCAGAGAGGCCACGGTTCCTCCCACAGGGTCTGCAGCAACCACAATTTGGGCCCACCCCTCCACCCAGGGGGTGAAGGTAGCTTTACCTGTGTTCCAGCCAGTGGTCTGCAGTTGGTCTGCAGTCTCCGTCCGTAATTGTGCCCCCCAAACTCAGGAGGCACCAGTCACCCCTGAGCAGAGGACAGCCTGGCCCCATTCCAGGCACATGGTGGAAAGGGAGCGTAGCCCATTCCTGATCCATCTGTGTGGGAGTAAGAGAATGGGGCGCAGCACTAAATCAGCCACAGGGAAAGGGGACATGGCCCAGCCTCAATCTGACCATGCAAGGCTTGGGAATTTGGCAGCAAGCAATGGGTGTTGGTATTGCCACTGCTCCCCGCCACCAAATATTCCAACCCATGGGGAGCTATGCAGGCTGGATGCCATGGCTCCATGGGCCATATTTGGCCTACAGGTCAGTGGTTGAGCACCCCTGGCTAAAAGACGGCAAAGAAATGGATGGTCAGTTTTCAGTTTAAGAAAACTTGACCAGTAGAACATCCCAAGGAATTTTATTAAGATCGTTATTTAATATATTAAAATAATTAAATAGGGTAAATGGTGAGATGGCAACACTGGCAGATGACAGACGCATGTTATTTGGGTGAATTAAGGTAAGAGGAAAATGTGAGCCTACCTTTTCCCCGCAAGACCTGTCAAAGTCAGGGTAGCATGATGACTAATTTTTTTTCCCACAAAAGCAAGGTAATGCACATAGGAGCAATTGTTTGAGTTTCTTCTTGATACTTCATAGTCTTAAACTAGCTAACTACTGAGGACATCGTTGTGGATAGGTCTGTGAAAATATCTTCTGAATGTGTAATGGCTGTTAAAGAAATAAATATATGAGAGTATATAAAGAACAGGGTAAAATATAGTATTGAAAACGTTGTATTAGTACACCTTCCCCTGGAATATTTAGGTCATATCTGGTCATTCTCTTTCCAAAATTACATACTGAAATAATAGAAGAGGTTTGACAGTGGTGGATCAGAATGATTGGAGGCCTAGGGACTGCATGAGAATGAAATTAAAATTGGTCCATTTGGCAACCAGATACAATGGTGAGAGCTTTTGGGGATAAAATACAATTCAAAGTTGGAGAAGGTAAATCAACTTTGGAGGTAATAGAGGCCAGCAGGGAACTGAGGCAACAGCTAGGACTGGAGCAGTTAGCCAGTGGGCGAAAGAAGGTGAGACTGGAGTGAAGACAAGGAATGATACAAAGGAACAGGGGCATAAGTCTGTGGTTATGACCACTAGAGCCCACTTCCCTTAGCACCTGGATACAAGTCAAGATTTCTGAGTCTCAGCATTTCTTAACTGTCAGCAAATAGTTTTCCACCTCCCTACCCTCCAAACTGTATGCCTCATCTCCCCACTAATGGCCAGCCCACAGAGAGGACAATGATCCATTGCTTCTATTAGTTACTCTGTCAGCTCAAGCAGCAGAGGTCTGTGAGATTCTCACCCTGTTGATGAATCTTGTCAAATGTACTATGTGAGGGCCTTTTTTTTTTTAATTTGGTTTGCTTTTGTAAAAAATGGCTTGGAAATTGCACACAGTGATATATATTGAAACCTGTTGAATTTTCAAAGTAAATTGCTCAGAAGTTAGGCAACACCAGAATTAAGCCAGGTTGCCTATGCAATCTTCATTTGGCCCCTTGCCCATGACCATTATGTAGGCTTTACTAACATACATATATAGTATCTTATGCACAAAACCCCAGCCTTATTCTGTGCACAGAGTGGATTAGGGTTCTGTAGTTAATGGAGATGTCTGTACGACTCTATCTTAGTTCATTGAAGAAGTAAGAACTTAAGAAGGTGTGGAAATTAGAGGCAGGGGACTGCAAGAAGGGAACAACAAATGGTCTTGTAATTCAGGGAGCTGAATACTACCCTATGGAGCTAGGATCCACCTGTCCCTCTGCAATGGAGATCCTATATGATGCTGGGCAGGCACATCCATTAAACCAGACTTTCTACAGTTCACCACCAATTGTGTGGCCCTCATTTTCTGGGTGTCCAGCTTAAGACTATTACAGTTGAAGTGGAGAAGAGCTGTGCTCTGAAGAGACAAAGTTCTAAATTCTTTGAAAAAAAATCAAGCCATAAATTTCTCAAATTGGGCATGCCTGTGTAGCAGATGCTTTAGACCTTTATGTCTTTATTCCTCAGTTCCCCACCCACAGAACCCTTTCTCTCACTGGGTTTTATGAACATAAATAGATGCTTTTGTAGCCCTCTTGTGCTATGGTCCCACAGAAAAGCCCATGAGGAAATTAATAATTCAGTATTTGGATTAGGATTTCAGTAATGTGTGGTAAGCAAAGCCTAGACATACATGTATTAAATAACAATGCTACAATATGGAACATCTGCTCATTCACTGAGCGTTGTCCATCTTGTGTGCTAGAGAAAATGGGAATAAGAGTTTTAGCCTGTGAAATGGATCCCTGCACGACTCTGTTACCAACCTTCTGGTTGGTAAAAGACAGTTAAGAACAATTTTGCCCTCTACTGCTACTCTACTGTCAGAAACAGCAAAAGCCTCCTTCAAAGAAGCACGCCTGCCAAGCTGTTTGGAAATCACCATCACTGACCTAATCCTTCAGAAGCCAGCACTGGAACCTGGGGATCTCACCAACTCAACCCCTTCTTCAGCCTTCCAGGCAAATAACTGAGAAAGCAGTAATCACAAATCTCCAAAAATGTGGGACATCAGCCCATATCCTGAGTGCCTCACAGTCAAGTTTTAGAGCAGGGCACAGCAGAGACATAGCTATTCTTTTGCTCAAAGATGACCTTCTTATGGCTGGGGACTCCAGTAAGATCTCCCTGTTCACATGACTGGACCTTCTTGCAACCTTTGACCCTGCAGCCACCCAGCACCCACAGTGTCCCCATCCTCTCCAGCAGACCATGGAGAGTGGGGCCAGAGGGTTGCTTTTCCTCTCATAAGACCCTCACCTGCTTGGTCTCACAGGGTTCTGGACTATGCCTGCTTCTCTTCAGCAGCTCCACGAGACTACAGGGAATGAGATGCTTCAAGCTCAGCTGTCAACTATGCAGTCATGACACTCACCTATATATCCCATTCTCTATTGATGCAACCATTGCCATTCCTAAAACATTAGAACATCTGCAGGAGACAGGCTGTTGGATGAAGTACAGCTGGCTCAAGCTTAATCCAAGCAAAACCAAAGTAATACTAGCTAAAACGTGAAAACTCTATTAAAATCTGGCCAAGACATGAACTCCAATTTCCAAAGACGGCACACAGCTCTCCATCATCAATGCTGTGGAAAACCTTGAGGTCCAGTATGATTGTTTCCCAAGGCTGGGTGACCAGGTTGAATTAGTTTCCAAAAATGACTTTTTTCACTTCCTGCTTGCTGGGAAACTCTGCTTCGTTCTCCCAGATGAGAATCTGGCAATTGAATTTCATGAATTTGTCATCTCCAGGTGGCATCACCGTCACTCACTGTATCCAAAGCACAACAGAAAGATGGTGCACAGGCAGCCCCAGCCTTCTCTAAAGCTGTAGCTGCCACAAGCAAATGAGTGGCTGAATGGCAGTCAGTTTCCAAAGTCAGTCTAAGACCTTGGCCCTCATTGACTATTAATGGACCCAGCCCTAACCACATGAAAGACTGCATGTTGAGCTACAAACTGCTGCAACAGGTGAACTCCTCAAGGAAAATATAGATTGCAGAACCAATATAAAGCATTTGAGAGCTAAGGGCAAAGCATTCTTTGTTATGGGGCTCCAGTTCTGGTACCCTTTTCCAAAGGAGATCGAGCAGATGCAGTCTCAATCCCCTAAGAAAGTGAGGCAAAGCCTCCCTCCTTGAGACTGCTCTTCCACCATAAGTAACACACAATCCAATGCCCCTCTTCTATTCTCAAACCACTCCTCACCCCCATGCCATAATAAAAACAAAATAATTCAAGACTACCTGAAGCAGAGATATGACCCTATAAGAGGAGAAGAGCCAGAAACTTCCTAAGTCTACAGGAACGTCACTGTTGCTGTTAATTTTACATGGAAGGGGCTCAGAAGCTATGGTGAAAGGTAGCACCTTAAAACCCAGAGAAAGAGAGAAGGGTCCAAAAGAAAAAAAAATCATTATCATGCCAGTAAAAGCTGAAGCATAATGAATATGTATGAAGGAACCAAATTAACATTACAAAGGCAGTTTTAATGCTG